TTTGAAATTTAAGGAGGACGACATTCGCAGGAAATTGGCAGGTATGTCCAACAAAATTTTTGAAACTCTTTGGCCGGGATGATGGTTACCTCGGCCAAAACAGGTTGGCAAGGTTCGTATAAACCGAGTTAGTCTGTTCGGCAAGACACAGAAAGAACGACTCAACGTATACAAACTCGAAGGATACATACGTTAAAGGCAAAAAATCAGGGCTATTCAAATTTTTGGCATGACGATGGTAACAAGGAGAACAAGGATATTGGGGGCACGCCATGTATCCTGGGAATAACGTCGTACCAGATTAGTGGAAGGACATGCTAAGAAACTGACAAGGCTTATTGGGACCGAACAAGCCGTGAAACCGAACAATTTCTTAACTCGGCTGGAGGAAAAATAATCCCAATCATGCTACGCAGATGGAATTAAGGGGCAATTGAGAGGGTAATTTGTAAACAAATTGGGCCGAGCTAGGAAGAGTCTTCTTTAGGAGTTGGGCCGCGTAATGCGCCGAGATAAGGGCTGGTGTAGCTCGGTCTTAGGCCAAGAAGGCATCTCATATTTCGAGTTTGGGCCGAACTATGACCCGAGGTAATTATTTATGTAGCACGGTCCTTGATCATCTAAACATCGGGTCTGTCAGAGATGGGCTCCCAGTGACCTGACTTAGCTATCCTAGATCGAGGTATTAGTGGAAGGAGAACCGAGCTAAAGGATAGCTCTGCAGGGCGTCATCTCAGAGTCAAGACTGACAGTGGTGCTTAAAGTGTCACCGAGCTGTGTAAGCACGGTTGACCGCAATGTCAGCCGAGGTAAGGGTTCAGCCATCTCACTTGGGCTTGAGACTCCTAGGAGGAATCTGCTAAGGAGAGTAGAGTCCTACAAGGATTATGCAAAACCATCTTACTTGATTGGTAGTGAGTAGGAGTGTGACTCCTAGGAGGACTCTCCTAAGAAGAGTAAAGTCCTACTAGGATTGTGCAAACCATCTCACTTGGTTGGTAGTGAGTAGAGTGTGTGATTCATAGAAGGACTCTTATAAGGAGAGTTGGAATCCTACTAGGATTATGCCAAGTAAAGTCTATAAAAGCTCATGACCAGACCTATGTACAGGTATCCCAATTCTTACTCTAGAATACACAAATATTGTCTACTTGCTGACTTAGGTATTGGAGAGGTTTCCGGCACACACCCGCCGGTTAGCTCACGTTTGGATACTGGTATTGTCCTGGCATTGCCATCAATAATATTACCAGCACAATTCCAGAACACAACAGCAATGGATGCTTTGGAAGTCTGATGGCAATAGGCAGCATCGCAATATCAACATTGCGCAAATTAATA